CTCTCTCCCTCAGCCAGATCCTTTCTCCTCAGTCCTCCCGGCGTCCGGAGCTCAAGCCAGCTCTTCTACTTCTGGGTTTGCTCTACACGCAAACCCCGTGCCCTCTGGGGAATAGCTTGCCCCAGTGCTCCCAGGTCCGAGGTCCCTTCTGCAGCACCACCCTTGACACCTCCCCGCTCACAGCAGCAGTCGTGCCTTCTTCTGGGTGTCCATATTTCCTTATCTGTAGTGTCTTTGGGCACAGTCTTCTTTATGTCATGGCTGTTTGTGGACTTGCCTTATCTCTTTTTCATGGGAGTCAGGGTTGGAATTTGGGCACCTACCTCCTGACCATGTGACCTTGCTCTGTGAGCCTCCGTGCCCTCATCTGTAAGATGGGTATTCACCTGGCTCACAGCAGACACTTGGCGCTGCACCTGATGCAGGACAGGTGCTCAGCATAGGAAACCTGCCTTCCCTCTGCTCCTCTAACAGGCTGCAAGCTGCTTGGAGACAGGTCTGTCCTCACTACGTGCAGCACATTGCCTGGTACATTGGTAGAGTCTATAGATGTCTGTTGAATGAACGAGTGCAGCCTGGAACACCTATGGGCAAACTCAGGGAATCTCTAGTCTCCCTCCCAGGGGTCCTCTGGGGGGCAGCCACTGGCTCTTGCTGGCTGAGTGTGAGTGAGCTGTTGTCTCCGCTGAGAAGCATACTCCAGCAGTGCTGGTGGGGCCGAGGGAGCGGCAGAGAAGGGGCGAGCTGCTCACATACTTCCAGGTGGGCCCAGACCCCCCTTCAGACAAGATGAGTGACTGCAGCACCCCCTGACTGAGGTCTGCTGCAAGGCCTCACGGTCTCACAGGGATGCCCTGGCAGCTCTGGGAGCTGAGTCCTGTTTCCTAGGTGTTCCTTTCCTCACCTGCCCGAAGTCTGATTGTGCAAATGACCAGTCCCTCTGAAGTACACTTGCCACTGCTCTTGTGAAGGAGGGTTTAGTGATAGGGACAGTGTAATGGGTCATAAGAGAGCCTTAATCCACCCTTGCAGATAGCTCGTAGCCTGCTTACACTGATACTTCTATTTTCCGCTTCTTCTTTCTGTTGTCCCACAGACCTCTTCCCCCGTGCTAGGATGTCTTGAAAATAAAATAGCAACAAGGGCTTAGTGAGGCTAGACCACTTCCTAAATTATGCCCCCTCCCCCCCATTAAACAGGGAAGGCCTGGGCCTGGAGAGACCTGGCATTGTGGGGAGTTGGTTGGAGGCTGGGCTGGTGGTGGTGCCAGGTCTTCTCTCATATCCTGGTAGCACTAGCTGGGTTTTACATCTTCTGGCTCCTGCCCCAGCTGCTGGATAACAGAACTGTGAGATGTTTTAGAGGAGATGTTCTCACTGCTCTTTGTTGAAGGCTCCATGCAGGAACCTGACAGCAAGGACGTCCCCTAAGGGTGTGTAGTGCTGACCCATTCTGCAGACGATCTCCCAAGGGTTGGGGCAGCAGAGAAGAGCCTAAAAGAACAGTAGTTGCTCCGGAACCCTGGGGACTGGTTTTTAAAAAGGGGCCGGCCGCAGAGGAATGAATCTGGGACCTGGGTTGGGGTCATGGTGCTCCTGGCTCCCCTAAATGTTGTTGCTGTCCCTTGCACAGGCACATTCCTGTTGTTGTCTCCTGCTCAGCGGAGCCGAACAGCGCTGGCTCCCTCGCCGCCTCCCTCGCTGTGCGTGCTCGCAGCCCCCACCCCGCCTTGGCCAGCGTGGCCTGTGTTTGTTATTGTAGCTCTGGCCCTGGGCCAGGCCTGGCTGGGAGCCAGCCTTGTGGGTACAGTGTGTACAGTGAGTGCTGAGCCAAGTTTGTCATCATACACGATTAATTTTTTTCTAATCTGGTAAGGGTGGGGTGAAGGAGGAGGCAAGGAGAGAGTTTCTCCCATGCTTGAGAACAGCCTCGTTGAATTCTGTGGGGCTTTTATTTACGAAGGATACACCGCTCTCCCTTGGTTATCCCTCCCAGCCTTTCCGCCTCTCTCCACTTCTCTCCATTCCCTTATCCTAGAAATCGGCCTGTACGAGTCTGTCAGTGACTAAACTACTAAATTTACATCCCTAAATCAGTTTTCATTGTGTTGAAATTGACAATTTGTTTAATTAGAAGTTTGCCCTGTAGGAGGCTCTGCCTAGAGACAAGTTTTTCTTTTGCTTCCTCTAACTTCCTTGTTTTCTTTTCTGAGACCCTAAATGGTAGTAGTGAATGTTCAGTTTAATTGAAATTTTGGTTTCTATTTGAGTGTGTTAATTGATCAAGTGTTTATAAGATATACCTGATGATAATAATAAGTTTAAATTAACCAACTTTAACCTAACTCGTTACCTAATGAGAGTGATCTGGCCAGGCCCCGCATTCTCAGAGGCAGCTTGGGGGCTCCAGGGGGCACTGAGGACTGGGAGTGGGGCTGGGGCCAGAAGAGTGACCACC